TTTGAACAGGCAGGATAGAAAGAGATGGAAGAGAGAAAAAGGAAGGCGGATGCTATTGAAGCAGAGAGTGAAATGTTTTGCATTCAAGTAAAGATGTTTTTCAGAACGAGTACAGTTTTGCTAGAATTTGTTATGACTTTTTGATTATTGAGAAAATCTTTGAGTACTACTGCATCTCGCCGATTAGCGCCTTAACATACTCTGTATCAGGTATCATATCGATACTTTTTGCAACATCCATGCCATAATTTCAGTCCGCATTTAGTACCTACGTGCATCATGGTACTTTTTGAAACTTTTAACATAGGTCCAGTCAATTTGATCTTCTGAATCATATTCATCGAAGTCTACACTGTAAAGAATAAAGTATGCCCGTAGATGATTAAAAGTTCTAAGTGTGCAAATGCGAATCAAACTGGTGTGTTTTTTTCTAGGTGTGTAAAAGTCTCTCTATATTTGCAGGTGTGTAAATTTTGCCAGGGTGTTTCTGGCACATCACATCGTGCATTCTAGATGTGCAAATGCGAATCAAAGTGATGTGCACGTTAAGTGTGTTTTGGGCACATTTTATTTTTTACAGTGTACGCTTTCACTCATCCAAAGAAGTTATTTTAACGAAGTATGGTGATACAGAACGCTGTTCTTAATCGGCTAGAAGGAGGACTGGATGAAAATCAAAACCCACAATATCCTACTTTTCAGAGACGAACGAATATCCAAATTTTTTCTGGAACAGGTCTTAACAGTTACACTTTTCTGAGTTTTCTAGCTTTTACGCTTTTATGACTTTTCTGCCTTTTATGCATTTACACTTTTGTAGCTTTTATGCTCTTACACTTTCATGGCTTTTCCAGCTGCTATGCTTATTCGACTGTTTAATATTATTTTTTCACTCACATACCATGGTCATTCCGATTATAAATTTGACGTTGTTCCAGCCACTTTTCACGCATTGATTTTTTCAGATTATGTCGCTTTTTTTCTCTCCGCGGTCAGAATATTTTTGAGGCAGGAGTTGGACGTAGGAGGATGTTGCCGATTGTCCCATTTTAAGTTTTTCAGCAGTTAGTCCCGAACGCACATAACATACGATTATCGAAAATTTGTCATATTGTGGTCTTTCCTACAATGCGCACAACATATAATACATTTTTGATGATTATCACCGTTGTTTCGGTCTGCTCGGTCAAAACTAAAATTTTAGATCTGCCCGGTCAAAATTGAAATTTGACCACAACATATACATGAGGAGAGTAATATAACTCTAGCGTATTTGTCTTTATCTTTATCTCGCATATACGACATTAATATTACATTCTGATATAGATATGTGGCATACAAAAAAAGAAAAAGAAGACTTACACACTGGAATTCTAATGTTTCTCTTGTTGCTGTGTAAGAAGATTTGTAGAAGATTTCAATCTGTTTCGTTCTCTCCCTTGTCTGTTTTTGTTCTTTCCTGGCTTTGTTCTTTTGCTGTTCTTATCTTTTGTACATGCAGTAGTAAATATATATATTAATATTTTTCTTTTGTTGGAGTTAGTTTTTTGTAGTTTGTAATAATGAATAGTCGAATAAAAGAGTGATATTACACACCTTAACGCACGCTTACAATCAACTCAAACACTTTTAATTAGAGGAAATATAAGTTCCTCACAGTCTCTATTCTAAGGTCATATTAGCACTTCATGACTATTCAATACGCTGATTAAATCCACATATCTGGGCTCAAACTTTACCATAAGTCAGAGCATTTCTTCGCCTTACAGACAAACCCTGTAACTCCATTTTGCCAAAAATCATAGTACTTTTTAGCGCTTTTCTCTAGTCTTTGGTGATTGAAATCTTTAATACCAAGTTAATTTTTGAACGTGTCAAAAGTCAAGGAAACGTCTTTACTAAAAGCACCAGATGAACGGACTGTATACGGTATGTTCGTGAGCGTGTATGATGCGTATTTCTCTTCACTAGTCGTTTATAGAACAAATAGATATTTGTGAGTGCGTAGAGAAATGGTACTTACCCTTGAAGATCAATGTTTTGCTAAGGATGATTGATCATCTGAATGACACTTTTTGCCTAAACTGGCTCTGTCTTAAATCATGGAGATATCCTTATCATATGACATGACGTTTTCTTCTACACACATTAAAAATGTACAGCTTATTGTTTTTTGTAGAGAATTAAGTGACGTATCTTTTTAAAAAATCATTAGCTTGTAAGTAGATAATTAATAACGGCCTTGGTTACCGCTGTTCGTAATGGCTGATGAATATCTGTCCGAAGACTGAACATATATGCGTGAAGGAGTAGAGAAATGATACTTACCTTCGAAAATTAATGTTTCGCTAAGGATGACTGATCACCTGAATGACAGTTTTTCTTATAATGGCTCTATCTTAAATTATGGACATATCGTTATCACATGACACGATTTACACGTTTTCTTTCTCAGTTTATTGTGTCTCAACAGTTTTACACACCCGTATAATCCGAATCACTGGAAGAATGCAACATCTACTTGAATGCATGGAGTTTAGTCAACAATAACGGATATTACAGAAAGAATGGCGTAGTTTTAGTTTTTTTCCTCTTACTTTGAAATCACAAAGCTCATCTTATTCTCAAAAGATTTTCAATTCATTTCTCTACAAAATGGTGTATAGAAGATGATCCTAAGGTTTAAGACGCTTTCTTAATTGGACAAACATGGAAATGACATCGAAGAACTTAAAAAATTAAAATTTTTTCGGACTATAATTTTGAAGTTTGATCTCCATTTTAAAAGTGGTTGGAAGAAAAATAGTACATAATATCCTAGGACGTTTAGATATCCTCTTTCAGATGGCGCAAGACTCGTTTCCTTCCAGCGGTCTGATGTGGTAAAACTGATTGATTAATAACTGACAGCCATTACTGAACAAGAAGCGCTGGTTTCAACATCTTCATTACTTAGAAAAGTTATATCAAGCGTTTCGCACGTGAGTTGAGTAGACCAAACATTTGTCTTGAAAATGACGCAAGAATGAGACTGACTGGTTCAGTTTTCTCTGAGCAATAGTCATTTTACAAATAGCCCCACAATGCAGGTTGAAAAAGCTGAAAAAACGGTCATAGGACTTTACAAAATTCATTACTGAAAACACAGAAATAACGACAGAAAATCCACATTACAGCTAATCGGTAGAGAATTTTAAGGACTACATTTTGGCTTACTTGTTGTAGATACAAGGCATACTTTCAACTTCATACTGACGAAATACACTTTTTTCAGTTAAATTTTTAAGCCTTTTGGACATTTCGATGTTTATTCAATTAAGATCGCGTCTTAAACCTTAGGATCATCTTCTATACACCATTTGGTAGAGAAATGAATTGGGAATCTTTTGGTAATAAGATGAGCTTGATGATTTCAAAGGGAGACGAAAAAACTAAAAATAAAAACTATGCCATTGTTTCTGTAATGCAAGCTCTTTTTCTCCACAGCACTGACAATCTATAAGATGAATTAATTATAGGCGACATTTTTCAACAGTGGAGAGCAGTTTCTTCGACATGACGAGATCATTTAAGGTTATGAGAAATATGTTCCAACAATTCCACGTCTCTAACACGAACAGGCACCTCAGTTCCAAGTGATAAAGCTGCGGGAGACCGATAATTTGTCGATGGATGGATAATGAACCAAAAGCCCTTATCAACGAAGAGGTTAGGACGATCAGCTGTACCAGTCTTGAATTTTGTTCATCCAGCTCCTTAAAGTGGTCGAATCGATGATCACCATGGAGCAGAAAGTCAGAAAAAACATTAATGCACAAACAAGGATGATATGGCGGGATTTTTCTTTGGGTTGTTCGAGTTCGGGATATATAAATCCAAGTGTGGTGCATGTAAACATCCTAACCACTTGCAAGTAAACTATCATTTAGAAATGAGGCACTTCTTCGTGTTACTCAAATAAAATTATTCGCAATCTATATTGCTCATAACCTTAGGTCGATTGATCATGTCGAACAAACTGCTCTCTGCTGTCGGAAATGTTCCTCACGATTCATCGTACATGTAGAAGTGTGCCATCAAAACTTAAAAGCTTCTGTATGTGACATGCGTAAGACTAATGATGGAATAGGAGAGCTTCGGTATTTGATACTAAATAGAATTCACATCCTAAACTGTTCAACACGGTGCAACGCTTAGTCACTCGCATCATCAGTAGGGATTTCATCTCTCCTTGGTCTTGTGTGGCTTACAATATCCGGTTAGATTGAACAGACGACAACCCTACGACTAAGGCACTTTTGAAAAATTGCAAAAGATTGTAGTGCGCTTTAGCGCTTTTTTTGTCTTTAGTAGTTCAAATATCTAATGGAAAGTCAATTTTTGGAAACTGTGTTCAAAAGTTTACCTAACTTCTTTGTTACAAGGTAGAGGATCGTCGGATTGCATACCTTATGTATGTCTATTTTTTCACTATCTATCATCTATTTATGGCTGCTAGAATATACATCAACCAATCAGTCAGCATGTTGTGAGTTTATTTTCACTACTCGTTTATATCTCCTTTCTTACTCGTATAATGGTAAGATATCAAAGCGACTTGTGTTTTACTTTTGCTTATTGTCATAACCCATCCATTCTCAGTACATAATTCTGTTCATTGAAGATAACTTCTGACCGAGAATGGTGCGAGATTTTTCCGTGTCAATTTTATGTGTATGTGTTGATAAAACTGAAATAAATAAAGATATTAGGATAAGGATATTCTTGATCTGATTATGTATTTTTTTTCTCATATTTTCTCGATGTGAAGGATGGCCAATGAAAAACATGAAATAAATTGAATATTTTTCATTTTGTAATGCTTCGTTGCGGATCGAATTTGTATATATGTAGTGATTTGATGGTGCTCCAGAATTGTTTGTTACTTGGTCAAGGAGGCAGACGTAAGTATTGTTAGTTTATGATGCTCATCATGGATCAAGCTTTGTTTTTAGTTCTAAATGCCGTCAAAATTATTTATCGGTACGGTTTTGATTTTGTGTTTAATTCATGCAATACATTGTCATGATGATGATGAGTTAACACACGAAAAACGACGAGAATTAATCGAACAAATCAAGAAATCGAAGTCTCCTCCATCTTGGCTGGACCCTCGTCGGTTCTTGGAGCGAGCAGTGTGTCAATCTGATGTATGTGATAATAGCAGTGTAAAAGCAAAAGCTTCAACAGTTGGTCTCACGATTATATTATGTGGTACTGGTCAACCGTTGGACAGTAGACGTGGTCGAGCATGCACTGCAATTCGTGCTGGTGATGAATATATGGTATTTGACGTTGGAATGGGCTCTGAAATTTGCTTAAGTACATTTAACAGAACCGATTTGTCTATTAAAGTGAGAAAAATTTTTCTGACACATTATCATAGTGATCATACAGGTGGATTACCAAATTTTTTGACATTTGGCTGGCTCAATAGAGGATACAAAATTGATCTATATGGACCAGATGGTGTCATAATGCAAAATTTGACTGAAGGTATGAGAAAATTTTATGTTGTTGATGCACTACAGCGTGAAACAAATTCCAATTACACTACGAGGACGTGTGCACCAATATTCCATTTGCCAAATGAGCCAAATTTGAGTCCAGTTCAATTTGATACACTTCAATTTAATTCTGTTCCATATAACACACCACCTTTCGATAATAAAACACGTGTACTGGTTTATAAAAACACAACATCTGGTCTTACAGTTGAGTCATTTCGTGTCTATCATCATATTGCCAATCCGGCTGTTGGTTATCGAGTTACATATAAAGGAAAAGTTATTGTTATTAGTGGTGATACCGTTGGATATCCAGTATCAAAAGCTGTTTTTAATGCTGCCCAGAACGCTGATGTACTTGTCCATGAAGTAATAAACAAAACATATGTAACCAAACAACTCGCTAATACTCCGGCTGAGGAGTTTTTTCGTAGTTGTCAATTGTTACAATCTCATTCAACGATTGATCAAGTGGCAAACGTAGCAAAAGCGGCAAACGTTAAGCAATTAATTCTTACACATATTGTACCATCACCAATAACAACAGAGGAAGAAACAATGTTAAAACAGAAGATACAAAAAAAGTATAAAGGCAAAGTTCTAGTTGGGAATGATTATGATTACCTTCAGCTATGAATGACTGAAAAGATAGAAAAACAGATAGAGAATCGTTTTCTAGATGTAAGTTTCAATTGTGGACATTATTTTTGGTCATTTCTTTTCTAAATAAATTTCATATGCAGCAACTAATTGACTCAGTTTATACATACAATTGACTCAACTTACCCATACGCTTCGATTGTTTACTGCTCCGAAAGTGAATTAACCTCTGAAGATCGTAAGTCATCTTCAATAAACCGGTATGAAACGAGTTAAAACACTTTCTGTATGAATATACGAGTGGATATTCATTCAAAGAACACACATTATCGATATTCTGTTCTATTGGTCGAAACCTGTTGAAAGATTTGAATTCGAGAGAATCTTGAATAGATTTGGTATACTGGAAACGAACAGATTTCTCCACAAACATCAGCTTGTGCCTTTTCCATATGGTTACAGATAGACTTTGTGAAATGTAACGATGACTTTTTGGTAGTTGCGAGGATTCACAGGAATTAGTCCTGAACTTCATTTTTCACTCAGATAGAGTTTATTGCACGATAGTTCTAGTGGAAAAAATTCGTTAATCCACTAAGTTAGAACAGAAGGTACTTGACAAAATTTCACCTTCATGCGACCAATTTTTCAAGGATTTGTAAGTTTCACATCAAACGTTTCTTCATCAAAGATTTTCAAATATCTGTATCTTAAACTTTTGAGACACAATCCGTACTTTAAATTTCATCCTCGTTTTATGATCAGTCATACTTCAGCGTCACAATAATTTTCAAGGGTAAGTTTCATTTTTCTATGACTTCACACATACCTGTTCATTCTTCGGACAAATAGTCATCAAACACTTGACTGATCAACCCCTTTTCACTTGCGAGACTCAAAGATAGTATATTAATTACAGAGTCAGGTAGCTTATTCCAGTCTCTAGATATTCGAGCTAAAAAGCGTTCTGACTCAACGCTTGTTAGCTCAAACGTCTAGAGAGAACTTCTTACAATATTAGAGTTTAAAAGATACAATAATTCATTAATTAATCAATGTCCTTAGTATGTCGACGTATCGATGTTTGATTTTTCGATTTTGGTTGCGAAAGCGTAGTATGATTTTTTTGCAATTTTTCAGAAATGCCTTAACCGGGCAATTGTTCAGACAATCTAATCTAATAAAGAAGATTATTGCGATTACACCAGCTTTAAACATGGGCATAGTGTATTGTACACAATACACTATGCCCATGTAATGAATACGCTATGGATTATTAATAGAAGCTATGTTTACAGTCCTATCATTGAAATATTTCAGTTGAAAATATACTGTTGCACTTTTATTCTATAAAAGAGTCTTGTCAGACTCATTTTCATACAATGTCTTGAAAATGCTGCTTACGAGGGAAGGCCACCAACTGCCTCCTCGCTTTTGAGCTGAAACTCAGTTGACAATGGGTAATCGAACGTGCTGATTCCGAATATCACAATGGTTTTTCCCCGCTTTCGATTTAAAGACCGGTT